TTTTACTATATCATAAATGATAATTCGTCTTTGAGGAGTTTGTGTGGGCATCCGTTCGGCATTTTCTGCAGGGCGGGGTGAAGAATCCAATTTTCGACATCTCACCTGCAACCCCCAAGTTTGTTAGAATTCAGGTGTTGCTTTAGCAGGCTCTAGGTGTTTCCGTGTTCGTGTTGTGTTTTCGGCTTGTTAGAAGACAAGCACGTAGGTTTTGCTTTCCGCGTCTCTACCGACAGTCCGCGTGCTGCTTCCTCCCTTCAATCCCTACTGTTCATCAAGCGCAAGCATGCTCTGCAGGCGGGATTTTGGAGGTCCACCTCAAAAACCTGATGCTGAACCCGATCGTTTCCTGTTACTGTTTAGATGACGTGCAGGAATGCTGAGCATGCACTGTGTGGCGTTCTGTTTCTACATGCATGCAGGCTGTCTACTGAGGGCTTAATAAGTGCTCAACAATCTTCTACAGTTTTAGTGCGTGCAGCAAATGAGACTTGATTGTGCTTATATGTGGGGTTTCCTTGCAGCACCAGTTGCATCAGGGTGCGCTGCCGCATATCACTTTGCGCTCGATCGATCGGGGGGGCAAATTAGAATGGGGATGTAGCGTAGCTGAACGTTATGTATTCCATAGTTTACGTCAATATTGCATATATTCATATCTTTGCACCCACATAAAAGCCTGATCGGCTGTGCTCTAAGGAGCACCAGGTTCCCTGCACGCCTGTACAGACACGTGTCAAAAAGGCATTGGGTCTTAAACGAGCTAATGCCCGTTAGCTTCGAGACTTTAAGCGCTGATGAGAAGCCATGCCTAACGGTTGCCTGCACTGAGCCGGTTCTTCATGAGGCGAACCATAGGCTGTGCGCACAGTGGAATGAGATCCACGAGGTGCTCAGAAGAACGCCAACTGCTGCAACAGCAAAGTCAAGGGAAATAGGCAATGCATCTGCAGCGTTTTTGTTGAGTCCAGCGGTGATCTGATCCCACTGGGCTTGCCTGAGACACACACTCAACTCCCGACAGCCAGCATCTGCTAGCAGCAGAGTTCCTTCAAAAATGCATTTCGTCTCTCACTTTGCGTGATTCCGTAAAAAAGGTGAAGTTCGCGTATAAATTCAACTTACGTGTATGGGGCGGCGCCTTGTGTCAGGGCATTGGGGGTGGTGATGCAAAGAAGCGCCTTCACTTCTTTGTCTGTTGTGGTTTCACTCCCTTTTCCCGCATCTGGCTCTTCCTCGTTATCCACATTGCTGTCGCCAAGTGGGGGGCTCTCCTCATTGTCGTTATTTGCGCCCCCAACAACATCGGCGGTTTGCTGCTGGGGGGTGTTCTCCTTTGCTGGGCAGGTGAAGTATGCGCAGTCCACTTTCGGGTTTTCTTTCGGGTTGAAAAGGGAAATGAAAGAAACATTTTGAGGGTCTCTCCAGGGTACTATGCTCTTCAAGTACTATAATATGTTATATTTCAGTGTTATATAATTGACAATTCATTTTCGATGAATTTCTAGGGCCACCCAGCCTTCGCGGCTCCCGACCCTGGATGCCCAGCCGAGTTGGGCTGCCCCAACTCTTCACTTCTACGCCGCATCGGTTACTCTAGCAGCATTTGCGGTGATGATTTCCTATTTTACTGTTGTAGTCGCCTCATTAGAAGGGAGTTATATAGGTTTGGCCGGGCGTGCCTTCACCCGCAGCTGGGATAGCCCTCCCTCCCTTGAAGCCCTGCCCTTCATGAACCGTAAGCATGCTATGCAGAAATGACAGAAACTTCGATTCTACGTCATCGCATCTACATACAATCACAGGGCGGCATGTCAGGCCTCAACTTACGTTGCTGAAGTCTAAGAATGTTCTGCAGAAGGGAGTGAAATTTCGATTCTATCCCGTCACATCCATATGCTATCGTAGTATGCCACGCGAATCCGGAAATTAAGTTGCTGACTTGGTTTTCTCGCGTGTCGCGTTGCCGCCCCAGCTCGGAAACCTGCTGCTGGACCGGACCCTTTACTGTTTCTGCTCAGCTAACGTGCAGGAATGCGTAGGATGAATTGTGTGAAGCGAGTGCATGCGCTGCTACCAGCGTGGAGGCTGCCTACTAAGGCCCATATGAGTGCTCTACAACTGTTTACAGTGTTAGTGCATGCCGTAGAGCAGAGAGGCTTGGCTCTGCTTGCATTGGGTGTTTTCCTGCAGCACCGGCTGCAACAGGGTAACCCAAAATCTACAGCATTTTAAACTCCATTGCGAAAGCATATTAGGGTGTTCATGTAGAGCGGCCGGATGCGGTGTATTCCATTGGCGTGTTCAATACGCCGTACATCCATGGCCTTGAATCCCTGTAAAGGGCTCGCTCAGCGGTATTGCAAAGAGTCCTATGCTCCCTTAGCACCTGCACCCGCATGGCTCATCCAGTGTTCAGACCCCAAGCCCTTTAGCTGCGAGGCCTTCAAGCGCTTGTCAGACGCCATATCTAACGATATGTGTAGCGAAGCGAACTATAGGATAACTCCAGAGTGGAATGAAATCCACAGGGAGCTCAAAGGATAAGAATGCCAACTGCTGTGGCAACAAAGCCGAGGAACGTAGGCAATGCTGGTGCAGCGCTTTTGTTGAGGCCAGCGGTGATCTGATCCCACTGGGCTTGCCTGAAAACAAATCCCACTCTCACGCAATCCATCTTTGGGCTTACAGGAAGCCGTAAAAGACTGACGAGTTCAACACTGGAATTCAACTTACGTGTATGGGGCGGCGTCTTTATTTAAGACCTTTGGCGTGGTGACGCAAACAAGAGCCTTCACTTCTTTGTCTGTGGTGCTCGTACCCCCGTCGTCCGGCTTTGGACCGCTCCCACCGCTATCAGCTTCGGGATCACCCTCTTCCCCTTCTCCCTCCCCCTCTCCGTCGACAAGATTGTTTCTCTGCTGCGAATCCGCCTGTTGTGCTGGGCAGGTGAAGTATGCGCAGTCCACTTTGGGATTTTCATTGGGGTTGAACAGGGAAATGAAGGAAATATTTTGAGGGTTGTCATAAGGCGCTGTTTCTTCTTTGTATTGCGGAGGCACGCCGTCAAAGTTAGACAGGGCTGCTTTCCAGTGCTCCACTGCGGCTTCGCAGTCAGCAGTAGCTCCTTCTTGAACCGCGTAAGCGTATGTGCCATCCAGCGTGGCTGATTCTTGAGCAGACACTGCATTCTGTTGGTTTTGTGCAGTACGCAGCACACAGAATGTATGGCAGACTATACGAATACGTGTATTCAACTGGCTATATGTATGTCCGTATATTTGCGTAAGACGTGGAGTGAGAATCCAATCAAGAAGTGTGTCTTGTGACGGATATAGTGCCACGACTTACACCTTTCAGTGCCGTGCACACTGACCCCACGTACGCAGTTCCGGTTACGTCTTTGCTTGCGGGAGCTGCATCTATTGGGAGTTTTTCGCCTTCAGCCTTTCCCACTGTAAAGTCCGCGAAACCGACAAGATTGCGGGCCGCGTTCATTGACGCCGAGCAGTCCACCCGATCTGCCTTGTCTGCATACGCACACCCAAAAACAAACAGGAAGGATTTGAACGTGGTTTCGCATCGATTTCTTTATAATCTAGGTGTACAAATAGGGTTTCAAAAGACTCACATCCTGTGGCCGCATCGTTAGACGTCTTTGCCTTGTTGGTGCCCAGCAAGAATATGGCGGCGGTGACCAACGGCAGGAACTTGAGACCAGCCATTCTCGAGGTCCAGCGG